GGGCGCGCGCGACGCGCTGCGAAGCGCCGACGACGCGCTCGCCGCCGCGTCGGCGGCCTTCGCCGCGCGCGCGCGCGAGGCCGAGCGGGGCGCCGCGGCGCGGCGCGCCGCGGCCGACGACGCGCGGCGCGCGGTCGACCGCGCGCGCCGCGCGGAGGTGCGCCTCGGCGGCGAGGAGCTGGAGCGGAGCGTCGACGCGGACCGCTCTGCGGCGGCGCTGGCCGCGGCGGAGGCGCGGCGCGCGGCCGACGCGGCCGCCGCGGCCGCCGCGCTCGGCGCCGCGGAGCGGCGCGCGCGGAGCGAGAAGTCGCGGCGCGTCACCGCCGAGGTCGGCCTCGAGGAGTCGGCGGCCGCGCGGCGCGGCGTGTTCGCGGCCAAGGAGGCCGCCGAGGCCGCCGCGCGCGACGCGACCGCGCGCCTCGACGCGCTCGAGGTCGAGGCCGCGCGGGCCAAGTACCGCGGCGAGGCCCTCGAGGAGGCGCTCGGCGCGAGCGAGCGGCGCCTCGCGGCGGCGGACCAGGCGGCGCGCGAGGCGCGCGCCGACGCCGACGCGCGCGGCGCGAAGCTCGAGGCCCGCGCGGCCGTCGCGCTCCGTTTGGGCGCGCGGTGCGCCGTCGTCGAGGCCCGGCTCGAGGAGGCGTCGCGGCGCGCCGACGACGAGCGGCGGCTCCGCGCCGCCGCGGACGCGCGCGCCGACGACGCCGCCGCGGCGGCGCAAAGGGCCGAGGCCGCGCGCGACGCCGCCGTGGCCACGCACGGCGCCGCGGCCGCGCGCGCGCGCGACGCCGCCGCGCGCGCGCGCGTCGAGGTCGAGGCCGCGGCGGCCGCGAGCCGCGCGGCCGTCGCGGGGGCCGCGGCGGCGACGTCCGAGGTCGTCGCCGAGGCCGAGTCGACCGTCGCCGCCCTCGAGGGCCGCGTCGAGGCCGCCCGGGCCGACGCCGCGACCGCCAAGGCCGCGGCCGCGGCCGCCAAGGCCGACGCCGCGGCGCTCCGCCGCGCGCTCGACGAGGCGCGCGAGGCCGCCGCGGAGGCGACGTTCCTCGCCAAGCTCGACCCCGCGGGCGCCTACGACGACCGGAGCGTCGGCGCGCTCGTCGCGCGCGTCTCCGCGCTCGAGGAGTCGCTCGCGGTCGCGGACGCGACGCGGCGGCGGCTCCACAACGCGCTCCAGGAGCTCCGGGGCAGCGTGCGCGTCGTCGCGCGGCTCCGCCCACCGTCGAGCCTGCTCCGCGACGACGCGCCGGCGCCCGCGGTCCGCGCGGGCGGCGCGGACGGCCGGACCGTCGTCCTCGCGGCGCCACCGCGCGACGGCGTCGACGGCGGCGCCAAGCCGCGAAAACTGGAGACGCTGCGCTTCGACCGCGTCTTCGACGGCGACGCGACGCAGGCCGACGTCTACGGCGAGATCGACGACCTCGTCGCGTCCGCGGCCGACGGCTTCGACGTCTGCGTCCTGGCCTACGGCGCGACGGGCTCCGGCAAGACGCACACGATGCACGGGCCCGCGTCCGGCGGCGACGAGGCCGGCGTCGTGCCCCGCGCGACGCGGGCCCTCGCGGAGGCCGCGCGGCGGCGCGGCGACGGCGGCTGGTCCTTCGCGTGCGAGGCGTCGTCCGTCGAGATCTACGACGAGAAGGTCTACGACCTGCTCGCGCCCGGCGGCGCGGCGCTCGAGGTCAAGGACGACGCCGACGACCCCGTGCCCGGCGCCGCGGCGCTGCCCCTGGATTTCGGCGACGACGGCAGGGGCGCCGCGCAACTCGCGAAGCGCGCCGCGCGGAGCCGGCGCACGGCCGCGACGCTCCTCAACGACCGGTCGTCGCGGTCCCACGCCCTCTTCACGCTGCGCATCGTCGGCCACCACGAGGCCAAGAACCTGAAGACGCGCGGGTCCCTCGTGCTCGTGGACCTCGCGGGCTCCGAGCGGCTCAAGCGGAGCGGCGCCGCGGACCCGGGCGCGGACCCGGGCCGCCTCCGCGAGGCCTGCGCCATCAACCGGTCCCTGTCGTGCCTCGTCGACGTCTTCGCCGCGTTGGGCCGCCGCGGCGACGGCCGGGGCAGGGGCGTCCACGTGCCCTACCGCAACTCCGCGCTCACGCGGATCCTCCAGCGGCCCCTCAGCGGCGACGGCAAGGCGCTCCTCCTCGCGACCTGCAACCCCCACGAGGCCGAGTCCCTCGGCACGCTCAAGTTCGCCCACCAGGTCGCGGCCATCGAGACGGGGCGCATCGCGCGCCGCGTGTCGTCCGCGGCGAAGCGCGCGCCGCTCGGCGCGCAGAATAAGCGGCGCTAGGGCGGGCGTGCTTACGCGACGGCGACGTTGTCCCGGTGGCCCGCCTGGGCGGCGCTGAACTCCTTCTCGAGCTGGCCGAACGCGCGGTCGTCGCCGAGGACGCCGCCGGCGCCGTCGTCGAGGCCCAGCGAGCCCGCGGGCGCGACGAGGTCGCGCACGCCTTTGGCGGCGCCGCCGCTCACGGTCTCGCCGTCGAAGCGGCGCAGGCGCGGCAGGGCGCCGCGCGCGGCCTCGCGGTACCGCCTGCCCCGCGCGTCGCCGAGCGGCGAGTCCGAGAGGTCGAGCTCCTCGAGGCCCGGGCACGCCGCGAGCGCGGCGAAGGTCGCGTCGAGGTCGTCCTCCGCGAAGGCGTTCTCCGGCGCGAGGAAGGCCACGAGCTCGGCGCAGGGCGCGAGGCCCGCGAGCGCGGCCGCGCCGAGGTCGCAGCCGGCGCACGCGAGGCGCCGGAGCGCGCGCGGGCACGCGAGCGCGGCCGTGAGCGCCGCGAGGTCGAGGCCCGCGCAGTAGGACACGTCCACGTCCATGAGCCGCGGGCAGGCGACGAGCCACGTCGGCGGCGCCCAGGCGACGCCGTCGAGCGCGAGGCGCCGGAGGCTCGTCGGCGCGGGCGACTCGTCGCCCGCGTTGACCGCGGAGCCCACGCTCGCCGTCAGCGTCAGGGAGACGATGCGCGGCACGGCCGAGCCCAGCCGCAGGCACGCCGCGTCGTCCTCGGCGCTCAGGAAGATGGCCCCGCTCGCGCGGTCGTAGACGCTCGCGCCGACGTCGCTCGCGTCGACGACGAGGCCATCCTCGCGCCGCAGGCGCTCGGCGACCTCGTCGGGAAAGACGTTCGCCCAGACGTCGTAGAGCGGGCTCGCCGCGTAGTCGCTCGTGCTCGCGCCGGCGCCCATGGCGACGACCGGGACGCCAGTGGAGCGAGTGGGGGCTGCCCCGTCGCGGTTGGGAAATTTCAAACACATTGAGGCGAAGGTCGGCCTCACTCACCTGGCCCCGAGGGACGGCGTCGCCGTGGAGGCGAACCAGGACCTCCGCGTCACGGTCATGCGGCCATGAGGCCGCGCCGTGCGCGCCCGAGCCCCCGACGTTCGCGCGCCGGGGCCCGCGGCGCGGCGCGCCTCACTTATGTCGTCGCTGCGCGGCCTTGGCCTTGAGGTTCTTCGCCCACGTCTCGAAGCTGTCGACCTCCAGCAGCAGGGACACGACCTCCTTGGCGCCGTCGCGCGCCCAGGTCCAGCCCTCGCGGCCCTCGATGTCCTCGAGGCGCTTCGCGAAGGACGCGACCGTGTGTTTCCGCATTTCGAGGACAGCCTCGACGTGGCCCTCGACGAGCGCCGCGAAGCGCTCGTGCAGCGCCGTGAGCCGCAGCGGGTACTCGTCGCCGTCCCAGGCGTCGGCGGCGATGGCGTCCATGGCGCGCGCCTCGAAGTCTTCGATGTCCTCCCGCAGATTCGCGCCGTGCTTGCTCTCGCAGGAATTCCACTCGTCGGCGCCGCCGTCTTCCGCGGCCAGCGTCACGGACTCGTAGAGCATGTCCTCGAGGGCCTCCAGCACGGACATGACGATCTCGTCCTCCTCGCCGTCGATCTCCTCGCACGGCGGCATCGGGCGGCCCTCAGACTGGCAGCCCGTGCACTCTCGTTGTTTTAACTTCAAGGTGCCGCTCTTTCCTTTACTACCTCTAGCGGCCGTGCCGCCCGGGACGGCGCCTCTTACGAGTCTTCCATCCGGAAGCGGCAGCGGACGGTCTTGGATAGAGCACAATGCGTATTGCCGAACTCCGCGACGACCTGGCACGCCGCGTCGGCGCGCCACTCGCCGGCGACGGTGGCGCCGCCGTCGAAGCGCTGCGGGTCGACAAGGTCCGTCGCCAAGCCGCCGCTTTGCAGCCGGAGCAGCCGGAACCCGAGGTCGTACGCCTCGACGCGGAACTCCCACCGCAGCGTGCCGTGCTTCGGCAGATCGAATCGCCCCGCCACGCGGGCGACGCGCGGCGGGATCTCAAAGACGTCGCCGCCCCGCCCGATGACGTCGGCGAAGGTCTGGCCGTCGAAGTCCTCGACGACGGTCTGCTTGGCTTTGGAGTAGAACGTCCGCGTCGCCGCGTCGCCGCGTCCGCTCAGCGCCGCGAAGCCGCCGCCGCGGGCCTCCAGAATTTGGTCCGTCGCCGCGAAGCCGCCGCCGCCGCGGGCCACGAGAATCATGAGGTCCGCGGTGACGCGCTTCTCGAGCACGCCGTCGTCGTAGCGCACGTCGTAGGTCCCGTCGTCGCGGGCCTCCGCGATGGTGCCCGGGAAGTGCTTGGCGCGGCCGCGGTACCGCGCCTCGACGCGGTCGCCCGCGCGGAACTCGTCGGGCGGCGCGTCGCCAGGAGCCCGCGTCGCCGCGTCGCCGCGTCCGCTCAGCGCCGCGAAGCCGCCGCGGGCCTCGAGATGCGGGGCGCGGCCGATGCCGCTCGGCGGCGCGTTCGGCTTCTCCAGGGCCCACGCGGGGTGCTTCTCCACCCGGAATCGGTAGCGGACGACCTTGGACCGCAACACCGAATAGGAATTGTCGAACTCCGCGAGGACCTGGCACGCCGCGTCGGCGCGCCACTCGCCGGTGAAGGTGGCGACGGCGCCGAAGCGTTGCGCCTCGACGAGATCCGTCTCGACGCCGCCGCCCATGAATCCGCGCCGTCGCAGTGAGAACCCGAGGTCGTACGCCTCGACGCGGAACGCCCACCGCAGCGTGCTGCCCCTCGCCAGATGGAACGGTTCGAGCGCGCGGGCGACGCGCGGCGCGATCTCCAAGACGTCGCCGTCCCCGCAGGGGTCGTCAGTTACGGCCTGCCCGTCGAGGCCCTCGACGGCCGACTGCTGCGCGCCGGAGCGCAACGTCCGCGTCGCCGCGCCCGCGCCGCCGCCCGGGGGGCGGCCGAGCAGCTCCCAGCACCGCTGCGCCTTCTGGATCAGGTCGCCCTGCGTCGCGTCGACGCCGAGCTCTGCGCACGCACGGTCGACCGCCTCTTTCACGTTGAGTTTGCCGTCGATGCCGAGATCGCGCTCGAAGATGTCGACCATCGCGGGCAGCGACGGAAAGACCTCGTCGACGGAGATGCACGTCGCCGATTCGACCAGCGGCTGGCTGGCGCCGCCGGGCGGCACCGCGACCTGGATCTGCTCCATCTGGACCGCCGCAGGGACCTGCCGCATCTGGACCGCCGCCGCCGCGGGGACCGGCGGCGCCCACTTGCACGTCGCCGATTCGACCAGCGGCTGGCTGGCGCCGCCGGGCGGCACCGCGACCTGGATCTGCTTCATCTGGACCGCCGCCGCCGCGGGGACCTGCTGCATCTGGACCGCCGCGGAGACCGGCGGCGCCCACTCGTACGGGTTCGGCCTCGCCGCCGTCACCGTCTCCGGGTTCGGCCTGCTCATCTCATACGGCGCGGGAGCCGGCGTCACCTCGTACGGGTTCGGCCTGATGTCATACCACTGGATGGTCTTGGTCCCTTTGCCCCTTCTCCCCTTGGTCTCCACGATTTTGATCTGTTGCCACATCACGAGCCCGCGCTCGCGGAAGCGCGGGCTCCATCGCCGATAGATGTCGCCAAAGGCTGCCTCCACCCGCGACTTGATCAAACAGAAGGTCACAAGCATGAGAACGATACAAAAAATCGAAATGATCGGGACTGCAATGTCGTGTGCGGCCTGCGGTATGACGTGAAGCAAGGCCAGCCAGATCAGCGGCACCGAAATCCAGGCGAGTTTGTGCTTGTCGTACTTCGCCAGGTCACGTTTGCACTCCGTCAAGAACTCGGTCCACATCTCCTGCGAGACGCGCCCTTGGAGCGCCAGCGGCGGGCTCTCCTGGCTGGTGGGTCCATCTGCACGGTCCGCCTTCACAGCAGAGGTTTACCCTCATGACAACGTTCTCGTCGTTCTCGAGCCAGCTTGTGCCATCAGGGGGGGGCATGCGGTGCCCGCGGGCTGCGACGGCAGCGGGAATGCCCAATGCTGTGTCAAATGATTTTGCGCTCTATGTTTACCTCACCTTGACCTCAATTTGCCACTCGACGCTCTCCTGAGACTTAATTCTACTCGACCTATCAAACTCGACCTGTGCGGCGCCCGCAGCGTCGCGCGCAGCGCAGCCTGCCCAGCGAGTAGGGCAAGACTCGACGCTCGCTTCGACTGCTGCGTTGCTGCGACAGCTCGAGCGAGTAGGGCAAGACTCGATCGCTCGCTTCGACTGCTGCATTGCTGCGACAGCTCGACCAACAGCTGACACCAACATTCGGCTCGGGTTCGCCGCCGCGGCGGTCGCCGTGGGCCTGGGCCTGCGGCGGCGCATCCGCCAGCGGCGCAAGACGAACACGCAACACAGCAGCATGGGCGTGTCGCGCATGGCGCCGTCGCGACACCTCGAGCGGCTGGCCGCGGCCATTTTTGGCGTCTTCCTGATGATCACGGGCGTCGGCCTCTACGGCGCCCGGCGCGGCGGCGCCGCGCCGCCGCCGCCGCCGCGGTACGCGACGCTCGACGCCGAGGTCTGGGACGTGCTCGTCGCCGGCGCGGGCCCCGCGGGCCTGACGGCGGCGCTCTTCGCGGCGCGCGCCGGGCTCCGCGTCGCCGTGCTCGGCAGCGACGCGGGCGCGCTCGCCGAGGCGCCCTCGCTCGACAACTTCCCCGGCTGGCGCGGCGCCGACGGCGGCGAGGCCTGGCTGGGCGACGCCAAGGCGCAGGCCGCGGGCGCGGGCGCGGCCTTTGCGCCGCCGGGCCTCCTCGCGGAGCGCCTGCGGCGCGACGGCGACGCCTGGGCGCTCGACCACGAGGACGGAACCGCGCGCGCGCGCGCCGTCGTCGTCGCGTCCGGGTCCGCGCCGCGCCGCCTCGGCGCGGCGGGCGAGGCCGAGCTCTGGGGGGCGGGCGTGCACTCCTGCGCCGTCTGCGACGGGTCGCTCTACGCGGGCAGGACCGTTTTGGTCGTCGGCGGCGGCGACGCGGCCGTCGACGCCGCCTGCTTGCTCGCGCGCCACGCGAGCCGGATCGTCGTCGTCCACCGCCGCGCGGAGCTCCGGGCAAACAATGCGCCGGCGCTGGCGGCCATGGAAGCGGCGGCGAACGTCGAGGTGATGACCCCCTACGTCGTCGAGGCCTGGCGGGGCCAAAAAACGCTCGCGGGCGCGGCGCTGCGGCACGCGGAGACCGGCGCGACGCGGGACGTCGCCGCCGACGGCGCCTTCGTGCTCATCGGCGACGTCCCGGCCACGGCCTGGCTCGCCGGCGGCCCCGTGGCGCTCTCGGAGAGCGGCCACGTCGTCCTTAGCCCCGGGTCGCAGGGCACTTCAGCGCCGGGCGTGTTCGCAGCCGGCGCCTCGCACGACGCGACGTACCGACAGGCCATCACGGCCGCGGCCGCGGGCGCCGCGGCCGCCATGGACGCGGAGCGCTGGCTGCGGAGCCACGGGGCGCCGCCGAAGCCGCGCGCCGCGCCGCCCCTCTCCGAGAGCGCCACGGGGCCGCCGGCGCCGCCGCCGCCGGCCGCGGACGACTGCGCGCTCGAGACCGTCGCGTGCCTCCGAAGCGTCGTCGCCGCCCACGACGTCGTCGTCTTCCACAAGCCCCGCTGCCCCTACTGCCGCAAGGCGTTCGAAGCGCTGCGGCGCGCCGGCGCGGAGCCGCGCGCGATCGACGTGTCGCGCCGGCCCGGCGTCCAGGACGCGCTCGCGGCGATGACGGGCCGGCGGACGGTGCCGAACGTCTTCATCGGCGGCGCGTCCGTCGGCGGCGGCGACGAGACCGTCGCCCTGCGGCGCAACGGCGAGCTCCGGCCCCTCCTAGACGCCGCGCGGGCGTCCTAGGCGCGGTTGCGGATGATCTCGAGGCGGACGGGGTCGGCGAGGCCCCAGCGCTCGAGGAGGACGCTGAGCTTGGCGGCGTTGGTCGTGTAGAGCGCCTGGTAGTGGGGCTTGTCGAAGGCCGCGCGGCCGAGCACGGCGACGAGGTCGAGGAACTGCGCGTAGGTGAGGCCGTAGGGGTTGGAGCCGTGCTGGTTCGCGACGGCGGAGTAGCACTTGTGGAGGGCGGACTTGGGCAGGAGGTGGGGGCAGATCTCGAAGTCGCGGCCGAGGTTCACGAGGCCCTTGCCCCGGTCGTCGTCGAAGACGAGGTACTTGTCGACGGCGATGGACGTCGACGCGTCGGGCAGGTGCGCGTAGTGGAGGAAGACCTCGCGGAGCTGGCCCTCGGAGGCCTGGAGCGCGTCGTGGACCGCGCGGTCGCGGTGCGTGGCCTTGAGCATGTCGCCCGGCGAGAGCAGCGGCCGCGCGGCGAGCTTGAGCTTGTCGGGCGTGCGCGCCGTCGCCGCGGGCGGCGGCGGCAGCGGCTCCGGCGACGCGTCGGACCGGTTCGACGACGCGGGGCTCTTGCGCGGCGTGTAGTCCGCGTGCGTGAGGCGCGGCGTGCCCGCGGGCGACGGCGCGTCGCGGGGCGACGCGGCCCGCTTCGGCGGCGGCGGCGCCTGCTCGGGCGCGGCCGCGGGCACGATCTCCGGCGCGAAGGGCGAGCCGGCGACGTGCTTCGAGTCGAGGAGCACGTGGACGAGGACTTTGCTGTCGAGGGGGTGGGACGCGGCCGGGAGCCGCGCGTCCGCTTTTCCGCGCGCCGCGACCCACGCGTCGGGCCGCTCGCCGAGCGCGTCGCCGGAGCCCGTCGCGTCCTCGACCTCGTAGCAGCACGTGTAGGACCCGTCGCCGTCGTCCGTCAAAGCGACGACGGCCGCGGGCCCGTCGATGCGGACCTCGACGGCCGCGCCGCCCGCTTGGAGGTCGTGGCCGTGCGCGTCGCGCGCTTGAAGGCAGAAGTGGGCCTCGTCGCCCGGCGCCGCGCGGGCGACGCCGTCGCCGCGGAGCGCCGAATTGTGGGCGACGGCGGGGCCCGGCGCGACCGTGCACGTGAAGGGGCTGCCCTCGACGTGGAACTCGTCGTTCAGCAGGATGCTAAGCTCGTAGAGGCCCGGCGGCGGCGCGACGCGGTACTCGCAGGCGTAGGTGCCCGAGTTCTCGTCGACGACGTCGAGCTTGAAGAGGTGCGACTCGTTCTCGAGGGTCGCGGTGAAGGACAGGCCGCCGGAGTCCAGCGGGTCGCCGCGCTCGTCGAGCGTCTCGACGACGAACGCCGCGGGCGACCCGCACGTCGCGTTGAAGAGGCCCGCGCCCGTCGGGTAGCAGCGCTTCGCGTCCTCGTCGCCGAGGTCCCAGGACTGCTTCGCGAGCCAGGACGCGCGCCGCCGGCCGAACTGGGACCCGCGGCGCTGCGGCGCCGCGCCCTGCTCCTCCTCGACTTTGTCGCGCTTCGCGGCGAGGAGCGGGTGGAGCCGCGTGCGCACGCGGCTCGCGTACTGGCCCGCGAGGGCGAGGGACTCCCGCCAGGCCTCGGACGCGTCCTCGGACGCCGCGCAGAGCCTGAGGGTCCTCGTCGGCGTCGACAGGAGCCACGTCCACGTCACGTCCCGGTCCTTGTGGGACCCCGGGTCCTCCTGGACGAAGCTCTCGAAGAGGTCCAGCGACCCCTCGGGGTCCATGGCGTCGGCGTCGAGGTACCAGAGCAGCTCGACGCGGTCCTGCGGGTGCACGAGCTCCGTCTTGAGCACGAAGAAGTAGTCCGCCCAGCGCCGCTGGCCCCGGAGCCGCGACCCCTCGCTCTTGAGCTTGAGCGTGCCCGACGACACGCGGAGCTGCGCGGCGACGCCCTCGCGCAGGCTCGCGAGGATCGGGCCCGCGTCCTCCTCCTCCTCCGACTCCGCCGCCTCGTCGTCGGGCGCCTCGTCGTCGCTCGCCTCGGCGTCGCTGCCGCCGTCGAGGATCGTCGCGCGCGCCTGCATCTCGTCGAGCTCGAGCATCTGCTGCAGCGACTTGCGCCGCGCCGCCGGCTTGCGGCGGAGGAACACCATGCTTTTTGTGGGAGCTGCCGCCGCGGCTCGCGGCTGCCACAGCTCTCGAGCAACAGACAGTGTCCGATCGAGCGCGCTTGGGCCGCCGATCTAGATCCACGGCAGCGCAAACCGCACCACGCTGATCGTTTTGGCTAGCGCGGCCTGTAGCCCGGCACGATGCCCATCTCCATGGGCCACAAGTCGCTGAACGTGGTGAAGATCAAGGCCGTGGAGACGACGCGGCCGAAGCCCTTCAAGCGCGTCGAGGTCGGGGAGAAGGCGGACCTCGTCGCCGAGCTCGCGCGCACGGTGGGCTTCGACAACTGGAACGCGCTCGACATGGCCATCAACCTGCGCAAGTTCGAGGAGCACCAGCGGCTCGCCGAGGACTGCGCCGCGGCCGACGAGGAGGCCGCCGCCGGCGCCCGGGCGCGGGCCAAGGAGGAGGAGCGGCGGCGCCACCTCGAGCGGGCCCAGGACTGCGTCCAGTTCATGAACTCGTGGATGGACGCGGGCTACCAGAACTGGAAGTCGAACCAGCTCGTGAAGCGGAACCGCGTGCGCTTCGACCTGCGCTACGAGCTCGCGCTGATGAAGCGCGACGAGGTGCGGCGCACGGGCGAGCGGCTGCGGCACGAGGAAGACGGCGGCGAGGGCGTCGCGTGGTTCGACCGGAACATGAAGCGCCTGGGCATCTCGTCGGCTTCCGCGGCCGACGGCGCCGACGGGTTGCTCAAGAGCGGCATGAGCGAGTCGGCCATGATTTATCTGCAGCGCATCGAGGCGCAGGTGTCGTCCGTGACGCGGAACCCGGAGGAGGCCGCGGAGCTCATGCTCACGCTGCGCAAGAAGGCGCACCAGAACCGCAGCGCCCGCGCGGAGCGCGAGCGGCGCCGGCGCAAGATGGTGCTGGACCAGCAGCGCGCCCAGCAGCAGCTCGAGGCGACGAAGCTCGAGGAGAAGGCGCTCGGCACCTATTTGACGATCGCGCGCGAGCAGCGCGCGCTGTCCATGGGCCGCTGGGAGGGCGCGCACCGCAAGCGCGAGGAGCACGCCAAGCGCGCGAAGAAGGCGTCCGAGCTCCACGCGCGCTACCTCGAGGGCTGCGCCAGGGCCTTCGAGGAGTTCTCCGCGCGCGCGCGCGCGGATCGCGACGAGGCCGCGCTCGAGGCGACGGCCGCGGCCATCCGCGAGGCGCGCGACGAGTCGGCGAAGCGCAAGGCCTTGCGGGCCCAGGAGACCTGCGCCGAGGCCGTGGCGAAGCTCGTCGACATGGCCTGCGTCGTCCTCAAGGTCCGCGAGACGGAGGGCCGACAGCCCATGGACGTGCCCACGTGGCGGAAGATCAAGGAGCGCTACCTGTCGTCCGAGCCCTTCTTCGAGCGGCGCCGGCGGGCGCTGGCGCCCGTCGACGCCGCCGCGACGGCGGAGCGGGCGGCCCTCGAGGCCGAGGCCTACGCGACCGCGTCGGGCGCCTGGGACGTGACCGACGCGGGCGACGGGTCGCCGTCGTCGTCGTCGTCGTCGTCCCAGAGCCTCGGCGCGGACCCCGCCGTCGCGGCGACGGCGACCATGGAGGCGCTCCTCGCCGAGGAGCCGCCGTCGACGCGGCCGCCGCGGGACGCGGGGCTCGACGTCTGCGGGCCCATGCGCGTCGTCGTTATAGGCCCGGGCGCGGTCGCCGCGGCGGCGGCCGCCGCGCCGCTCCACGGCCTCCCCGTGGCGTCGCCGGCGCTCGCCATCGCCCGGGCGCTGGAGCTCGCGGACAAGGTCGAGGAGGAGGACGAGGAGAAGAAGGGCGACAAGGAGAAGCGGTCGAGCTTGATCGTCGTCCGGAGCGCCGCGGCGACGCTCGAGGAGAAGGGCCTGGAGATCCGGAAGCTCCGCGAGGACCAGGGCGACGACGCGGCGCTGCCGGACGCGCTGCTGGCCGAGACACTCGCGGCCTACTGCGGCGCGCTCGACGACGAGGGCCCGAAGCCGAGGCCGAGGCCGACGGCGGCGCCCGCCGAGGCCGCGGGCGACGACGACGAGGCCGCCGCGGCGCCGGCCGACGACGACGGCGGCGCGCCGCCGCCGGCCGTCGAGGGCCGCGGCTGGGTCGTCGCGGGCTTCCCGGAGACGGTGCTCCAGGCGAAGCTCCTCGAGAGCTTCCTGAGCGGCTACGGCGACGCGGACGTCGACGCGGCCCTGGCCGGCGGCGGCAAGAAGGGCAAGAAGGCCGACGCGAAGAAGGACAAGAAGGGCAAGGGCGACGAGGCCGAGGAGGAGCCCTTCGCGTCCGTGCTCGAGGCTCTGGTCGTCGTCACGGACCGGCCGCCGCCGGCCGCCGCGGCGCCGCCGCCCGCGGCCGAGGCGGGCGACGACGAGGGGTCGGCGGCGCCGGCGGAGGCGCCGCCGGCGGACGGGGCGCCCGCGGCGCCCCTCGAGGGCGCCGACGCCGTCGCCGACTGGTGGAAGACCATCGCGGCGACGACGCTGTTCTGGGCCCCGGCGACGGAGGCGGGCCTCGAGGAGCGCCTCGACGTCGCCGTGGAGCTGCTCTACGAGCGCAACGCCGTGCCGCCGCCGGCGCCGCCGGCGCCGGAGCCGGAGCCGGGCGAGGGCGGCGACGAGCCGCCGGCCGACGACGCGGCGGCGCGACGAGCCCGCGGACGACGCGGAGGAGCCCCCGGCGCCGGACCTCGACGCGGAGATCGACGACCGCGTCGCGCGGCGCGTCGGGAACCTGGCGCCGGCGGCGCGCATCTGGCGGTCCCACCTCACGCGGGAGCGCGTGCTCGACCTCGACCGCGTCGCCGCGGCGCTCGTCGCCTGGACGAAGGACGGCGTCGAGCACGGCGACGCCTTCGGGAGCCTGGTCAAGGCCTTCGACGACCAGACGCGCCTCGTGAAGCAGGAGTGCGCCCAGTGCTACGACGACTTCCTGCGGCGGCTCCGGGTCAAGGACGCGCGCTGGGACCGCGTCGTGCGCCACTGCGTGCTCAAGATGACGGCGAAGCACCGGGAGGTGTCCGGCGAGATGCGGCTCCAGTACCTCGACGACATGGAGCTCCAGCTCGGCGACGTCGTCGACGCGCGGACGAAGACCGCGCACGACATCGTCGCGGACATGTGCGAGGCGTCGCGGCTCACGGTCGCGTCGGCGACGGAGCAGTTCGCCGTTTTGGCAGCGGCGCTCGCGTCGGCGGAGGCGAGCCGCTTCTCCACGGGCGCGCTGACCCTCGACGACTACCAGCAGGCCGTCGACGCGCGGCCCGTCGTCCCTTCGACGGGCGACCTCTCGAAGAAGCTGAGCCACGCGCTGGCCGCGCTGGAGGCGGCCCTCGCGTCCTGCTCGTCGCCGGACGTCGCCCACAAGGTCCAGGACGCCGCGGCCCTCGTCGCGGGGCTCGCCGCGCGGCCCGCGTCCGCGACGCGGCGCGGCAAGCGCAAGTCGCCGGACGTGCTCCTCCAGGCGAGCCACCTCGTGCGCCGCCTCCACGCCATCCTCGCGCGCTTCCGCCGCGTCGAGGACGAGCTCAAGCACATCATCGCGGGCCTGGGGCAGAACCTGCGCGAGATGGCCGCCGCGCGCATGCGCGTCGAGCACCGCGCGGTCGCGAACCACGGCAAGCACTTCCGCGCGGACCTGCGCGCGGGCCAGATCGTCGTGCGCGACATCGAGGTCGAGGACGATGCCATCACCATCCCCGAAGTGTAGTAACAGAGCCCGCCGGCGGGGTCTGTTCATTACGAGAGGTCTTTTTGCGCGCGCTTCGTCGGCCGCCGGGGAGTTTCGGGAACCCCGCGGCGGCGTCATATTTTCGCGCGCGCTTCTAGGCGACGAGGTTCGTGTTGTAGCAGTGGGGCGCCCACTGGGATGTCGCCGCGATGTCGGGCCAGAACTTCTCGGCGAGCGCGTAGTCCGCGGCGCCGGCGAGCTGCATGACGGCCTACATTGTCATTGTTTCCCAGGCTGAAACCTAGATCATGGACGCTGTCGCTCGCCTTCGCGCCGGCGTTGAAGTACCAGTATGAGTCGTCTTCGCGGAGCTCGTAGCAGCCCGCGGACTCGGTGCAGCCCTTCCAGAGTCCGCCGTTCGTCGCGTTTTCGTTGCCGTGCGCCGCGACGGCCAGGGCTCAGTAGCCGCCGTATTTCGGTGCATATTTTGTTCGGTTCGCGCGGAACGCGTCCAGGTTCGCTTCGTTATCGAAAAAGAAGGTGTAGCCGCCGAGGGCGCTGTCGTTGAAGGCCGACGAGCCCATGGTCGGCGCGGCCTTGGGATGGCCTGACATCATGGTCGCGACGAAATCGACGCCGCCGAGCACGGGTCCTAGCGAAGGGTCGCCACACTCGTGGCTGGCCGCCGCCAGGCCGACCGCCAGGAGCTGCGTGGGCAGCCTCCGCCGCGTTCTCATCGTCGGCCGCACACTGCCCCCAGGCGGCACCATCGTGTGCAAGAAGTGCCATCGTTGGGCTGGGCAATCGCATCGGGGCCGCTGCTGTGTGACCATGCCGACGGGGGCGGAGCTCAAGGCGCGCGCCTCGGTGGCGGCGACGGGCATGAAACGCAACCTCTTCAACCGGGAAAAACCCGACAAGCCCGTGAAGCCGCGCCAGTCGTCGCCGTCGCGCCTCGCGTCGGGCATGAGCGACCTCGCGGCGCGCGTGGGCAGCCTCTTCCGGGGCGGGGGCGGCCTCGACGACGAGGAGGCGAACCCCATGGACAAGATGGCGGCCATGCGCCTCGTCGACGCCGGCCTCTGGGAGGCCCGGGAGGTCGATGCGCTCTACAAGGCGTTCAACCGGATCCGCGCGAAGGACGGCCACCGGAGGAAGGCGACGAACAGGTACCGCCTGCCGACCATCGCCGACTTCTACCGCTACTTCCGGCTCGAGACGTCCGTCTTCTGCACGCAGGTGCTCCTCCTGCCCAAGGCCGTGCCCCTCGGGGGCATGCCCGTCGAGGAGATCGAGAAGCTCGAGCTCTCGTTCTGCGAGTTCGCGCTGTCGACGTGGGTCCTCTGCTCCTTCGAGCTCGGCACGCTGGCCTTCTCCATGATGGACGGCGACCAGAAGGGCTACCTCACGCGCGGCGAGGTCCGCGAGGCCGTCGCGCGGATCTACAGCGTCCACAACGCGGGCGGCCGGGGCCTCTTCGACGGCACGAAGCCCGTCGACAAGAAGCTCGACAAGGTCATGGAGGGCCTCGACTGCAACGCGTCGGGCTTCGTGAGCCGCGACGAGTTCCTGAGCTTCTCGCACCGCCACCACCACCTGCTCCTGCCCGCGTTCGGCGTGCAACGGTCCGTGCGCGAGCGCGTCTTCGGCCCGACGGTGCGCTGGGCGGCGAACGAGCGGAGGCGCCAGCGCCTCGTCCAGCAGCGCACGGTCCAGCAGGTCGTCGCCGACATCGCCAAGCTCGTGCCCGAGCTCGGCGGCGGCGCCGCGCCGCGGCCCGGCGAGGGGGACTACTACCGGCACGAGCCCGACGGCGACAAGGTCATGGACCACGCGGCCATGGCCTACCGCAACGGCGACATGGACCAGGCGCGCAGGATCTACGACTACCACGCGCGCGGCGACCAGGAGTCCGTCTTCCAGGGCGACGTCGTGCGCAAGAACGTCGCCGTCGCGGGCCTCGCGATGGACGGCACGGACGCGGCCGCCGCGGCGAACCTCCGGCGCAAGCCCAACCCCAAGGACAAGGCCGCCAACGGCAAGCAGTCCGACAAGCCCTTCGGCGGCCGGCGCTACAACGACGACTACGCCAAGGAGCAGAAGGCGAAGCGCAACGCGGGCAAGCGCGCGCGCGCCGTGGGCCAGGACCCGGGGAGCACGTAAGAGCTCGCAGGGCAAACATCGCCTTCAGGAGCACGTGCGAGCTCGCGGAGGCGCTCGCGGGCAGGCCTCTAAGGCATCGCTGGCCTCTTGGAAAAAAAACCTAAATCTACCTTAACAGCCCCACACCTTCACCAACGCCGTCTTGTCGAACGACCCGGGAAACAGTGGGCGATCCGAGCAATTCTCGGTCCGTTGAGAATCCGTTAGACAGCACTAATTCTATAACATTTTTTTTTTTTTTTTTTTTTTTTTTTCGGATGAAATAATACCCATCTCTTGCGACCTTTCAGAAGGGTATTCCATGCATGCGTTCCAAGTGGGTCTATGTGTAGGGATGACCCACTCCTTGGGATGCCGATTATAATCCAAACAAAGTGTGGTCTTTTATCGTTTGGCAAAATAGATAATTCGTCTTCTTCGAACCATGTGGGAACTGTGAAATCTTTCATTAAGTCAGATGTACCTGGTCTCGTATTGAATTGGCCAGCGCGACGAGCGCCTCGACGGTCGCTCCCTCGGGGAGCGCGCACCGCGGCGGGTCCGCGGGCGAGAACTCATCCTGGAGCTCAGCGGTCTCCCGGAGCAGGTCATCCGCCACGCAGGCGGCCCACGCCGCTTCGTAGAACGCTTTGACCTCCCCCTCCGCACGGGAGATCTCCTCCTGGAGTTTGGTTCGATCGCAATTCTTGACGTCGCGGTCGCCTGCTGGCGTTCGCGGCACGGCCCGTTCCACGTTGCTGCAGATTATCTGCACCTGGTCGATGCTCGCGCTGGCGCCCATGGTTCGTCGCACCTCCGTGTCACGGACCGGTGCGGGCAGCCACACTCATCATAATGCAAGCACCTGGCATGGGAGGTCCAAGGCTTCAGCATTGTGTGCATCGAGAGCGGCTGTGGAGGCCTTGAGGCGAGCCGCGGTCTCCTTGCGCATCTCCGACGCCGGCTCACAATGGCCCGCACGGTCGCCCTGATCGCCGCACTCGCCGCGACGGCCTCGGCCTTCGTCGCGCCCGGCGCCGCCGCGCCGCGATTGTCGCCGCGCCGCGCCGGCGACGACGTCGAGCCGCCGCCGGACGCCACGACCAAACGCATCCAGTCCATGGTCGACGACAACACGGTCATGCTCTTCATGAAGGGCACGAAGATCTTCCCCCAGTGCGGCTTCAGCAACATGGCGGTCCAGATCCTCAACGCCATCGGCCAGGACTTCGAGACCTACGACTGCCTCTCGGACGAGAACGTGCGGTCGACGATCAAGGAGTTCTCGGACTGGCCGACGATCCCCCAGCTCTACGTCGACGGCGAGTTCGTCGGCGGCTCCGACATCATGCTCGAGATGTACGAGGCGGGCGAGCTCCAGGAGATGATCGAGGTCGCGGCCGCGTCCTAGGCCGAGGGGGGCTGAAGTAAGCGGATGTGAACAAAATCGCGCGGAGAAGCGAACCGAGCCTCGCGACCGTCGCCTCGCGACCGTCGCCTCGCGACCGTCGCCTCGCCGACCGTCGCCTCGCGACCCTCGCCCCGCGACCCTCGCCTGGCGGCCCGAGCCTCGCGGCCCTCGACCTCGGACGTCGAGTTAGGCGGAGGAGCGGGGGGCGGTCGCGGCGGAGGACGGGACACGCGCTCGGGCGTCGAATTCGGCGGGCGCGCGCGCGCGCGGCCGCGGCGGGCGAACTAACGCGCTCACTTCTTCTCCGTCTGCGCGGCGACGGCCGCGGCCTTGGCGGCGACCTCCGCGGCGTCGCCGAGGTAGGCGCCGTTGAGCGGCGCGACGGCGCCGGCCTTGGGGATGACCTTGAGGCTCGCGTCGAGGTCGTAGACGAGGGGCGTGCCCGTGGGGATGTTGATGCCCGGGATCGTCTCCTTGTCGACGCCGTCGAGCTCCATGAGGAGCGCGCGGAGCGAGTTGCCGTGGGCGCAGACGAGCACGGTCTTGCCGCCCGTCGCGAGGACGGGCTTGATCGTGCCGTTCCAGTAGGGCAGCACGCGCGCGCGCGTCATCTCGAGCGACTCGGCCGCGGGCAGCTTCGCGGGCGGCACGTGGCAGTACTTGGCGTCGTTGGCCGGGTGGTGCTCGCTGTCGCCGGCGACGTCCGGCGGCGGGACGTCGTAGGAGCGGCGCCAGACCTGGACCTGGTCCTTGCCGTGCTTCTCCACGGTCTCGGCCTTGTCGAGGCCCTGGAGCGAGCCGTAGTGGCGCTCGTTGAGGCGCCACGACGACGCGACGGGCATCTCGCACAAGCCCGCGGTCTTGGACGCGAGCTGGAGCGTGCGCTGCGCGCGCTGCAGCGCCGACGTGAAGGCCATGTCGGGCGCGAGGCCCGCGGCCTTGAGGAGCTCGCCCGCGCCCTCGCCCTCCTTCTCGCCGTCGGGCGTCAGCGCGACGTCGACCCAGCCCGTGAACAGGTTCTTCTTGTTCCACTCCGACTCGCCGTGGCGCATGAGGATGAGCTTCCCGAAGGGCGCGGCCGCCGCGGGCGGCCGCGGCGGCCGCGGCGACGCGGGCGCGGCGCCGCCCCAGGGCTCGGCCTTGAAGAGGGGCGTGCCCGCCGGGTAGACGGCGCCGGCGCCCGCGCCGAGGCGCTCCTCGATGCGCAGGAGCTGGTTGTACTTGGCCGTGCGGTCCGACCGGCACGGCGCGCCCGTCTTGATCTGGCCGCACGAGAGGCCCACGGCCAGGTCCGCGATGGACGTGTCCTCCGTCTCCCCCGAGCGGTGGCTGCACATGATGCCCCAGCCGGAAGACTTGGCGAGGCGCACGGCGTCGATGGACTCCGTGACGGAGCCGATCTGGTTCACCTTGAGCAGGAGGCAGTTGCACGCCTTCTTCTCGACGGCCGTCTTGATGCGCGCGACGTTCGTCACCGTCAGGTCGTCGCCGACGATCTGGCACTCGGCCTCGGGCGTCGCCGCCGTCATCTCCGTCCAGCCGTCCCAGTCGTCCTGGTCGAAGGGGTCCTCGATGGTGACGATGGGGAAGTCCTTGCGGAGCTCCGCGTAGAACGCCGCGAGCTCCTTCGACGTCATCTTCAGCTTCGGGTCGCCCCGCTCGGCCTCGGGGTACCACATGCCCAGGTCGTAGCAGTCCTGGCCCTCGACCTTGAACTCGGACGCCGCGACGTCCATGCCGACGGTGCACTTGCCCTCGTAGCCCGCGGCCTTGACGGCCTCCATGACGAGCTCGACGCCGCCGCGCGCGTCGCAGGGCGGCGCGAAGCCGCCCTCGTCGCCGATGAGGGTCGCGTCGCCGCCGAACTTCTTCTTGATGATCTTCTTCAGGTTGTGGTAGACCTCCGTCGCGATCTGTAAACCGTCGGCCATCGACGCCGCGCCCGTGGGGATGACGAAGTACTCCTGGAAGGCGAGCTTGTTGCCCGCGTGGGAGCCGCCGTTGATGACGTTGAAGCAGGGCATGGGCAGCGTGAAGATCTTGTTCGTGTTGCCCGCGAGCTCCGCAAAGTGCTCGTAGAGCGGCAGGCCCCGGGCCGCGGCGCCGGCCTTGGCCGCGGCGAGCGACACGCCGAGGATCGCGTTGGCGCCGAGCTTCGACTTGTTCGGCGTGCCGTCGGCGGCGATCATCGCCTCGTCGAGCGCCTTCTGGTCCGTGCAGTCCATGCCCTTGACGAGCGGGCCGAGCACGTCGACGACGTTCTTGACGGCCGTGAGCACGCCCTTGCCCATGAAGGCCTTGCCGCCGTCGCGCAGCTCGCAGGCCTCGTAGATGCCCGTCGACGCGCCGCTGGGGACGATGGCGCTGAACATGGCGCCCGTCGCCACGGTGACCTCCACCTCCACCGTGGGGTTGCCCCGGGAGTCGTAGACCTGGCGCGCGTGCGTGCGCTCGATGCGCGCGCTCGGCGGCACCACGGGGCCGCTCGACGCGCCGGCGCCCATGGTGTGCAAAAAGGTGCTGTGGAAGGAAACGAGCCGGAGAGCGCGTCGACAATAACGCGAGACGTCTGCGAGGACTTGTCAGCGCTTGAAAAGGCAGCCCCGGTTGATGCAGTCGGAGAAGGTGATATTTACCACATGTTACCCCCTCAAAGCAGGCGGAGCTGCTCGCGCCTCGCGGTGCGCAAGTCGTCGTCCGACGCCCTCGACGCGTCAAGAACTGGTTCCCCGCCGATGTCCCACGAGGCGGCGCGCGAGGCGTGCCTCGTGACGGCGTCGCGCGTGGCGCGGCAGCTCGGCTTCGAGTACGCCGAGGACAGCGCCCTCGAGGCCCTGGCCGACGTCGTGCGCTACTACGTCAACGGCGTCGCGCGGCGGTCGGCCGCGAACGCGCGCCACGCGCAGCGGAGCGATTTGGCGCTCAACGACGTCCTCGCGGGCCTGCGCCAGACGCCCGCGAGCCCCGTCACGTGGTCCGAGCTCCGGGACTTTGCGTTCCGCGGCGACGGCGGCGGCTGGACGGCGCCCGACGGCGGCCCGGGCGGCGCGAGCTGCCTGCCCGCGGCGAAGCGGCGCCGCGCGGCGCACTACGGGGCCTTGGGCGCCGCGGACGCGCCCCGGCCGCCGCGGAGCGTCCACATACCCAAGTTCCTGCCGCCCTTCCCGCCCAAGGTCGCCGCGGCGGCCCGGCGGAAGCGCGACCGCGGCGACGGCGGCGGCGGCGACGACCGGAGCCCCGCGGAGGTCGAGGCGCTCCAGCTCGCGCTGAACCGCATCGGCGGCGCGCGGGCCCGCGACGGCGCCGCGGCGCCGGGGAGCTCCTACGGCGCGCCCATCGACCTCGCCTAACCCTAAGCCTCGGGCAGGGGCACGAACGGGAGCGCCGCGAGGCACCGCGCGTCGACCGCGTGCGGCCACCAGAGCTGGCGGTAGAGGCCGCGGCGCGCCCAGGGCTTCCGCGGCCCGGACCAGTGCCAGACGAAGGCGCCGGAACCGAGGCACGTCGGTTCCAGGTCCCCCGGCCGCTTCCAGCCGAGGCCGTCGCAGTTCCAGCGCGGGTCGAGCGCCTCGAAGCGGCCGCGCGCCGCGAGCAGGATCAGCGGCGGGTTGCTGCCCAGGCGCCAGAGCGGCGTCGCCGCGTGGGCGCGCATGAGGTCCTCGAAGCGCGCCGTGAGGCCGAGGCTCCGCCAGCGGCCGAGGTGGAGCGCGAGCACGCCCGCGTTGAAGGCCTCGAGGTCCGCCTCCGGGTCTGGGAAGCCGAGCGCCGCGAGCGCGGCCCTCGCGGCCGCGTCGTCGCAGTAGAAGACGCCCGGTCGGCTCGCGTTGCGGTCGTAGCAGACGCGCTGGTCCCGCGGCGCCGCGGCGACGACGGACGATGCGCTCCCGGAGAACGCGCCGTCGTACAGATCCGCGACGTCGCGGACCGCGACGGCGTCCGCGTCGAGGTAGACGACCCGGTCGGCGTCCGGGAGCAGGTCCGCGAGGTAGAAGCGCGCGAAGTTCAGCGGCGACCGCAGGTTGCCGTAGGACGGCCCCCGCGGCGCCGACAGCGTCACGTTCGCGAGGTACCGGTCCGCATCAAAGGGCACGACGGCCACCTGCGCGCCCCGGCCGGGCCCCGCGGCGCAGGCCAGGGCCGCGCGCAGCGCAGCGACCTCGTCGGACCCGCGCGCGGGCACGACGACGTGCGCGCGGAGCCTCGCCGGGTCCGCGGCCGCCGCGAAGAGCGACGCGACGGCGCCCGAGAGGCCCGCGTAGTGCGCGCGGTCGCCGGCGAGCGCGACGTGCACCGGCGCGGCGTCCGTCCGCGGCGCCTCGGCGGCGGCGTCGTCGTCGCGGCTCCGCGGCGCGTCCGTCGACGCGCGCGGCGCCGCGGCGAACGCGGCGAAGGAGCGGCGGTCGGACGCGCGCGCGACGCACGCGTCGTCCTTGCGCCGCCGGCAGGGCCGCCGCGTCGCGAGGACGCCGGAGATCGGGCAGCACGCGAGCGCGCCCGGTCTGGCCGTCCGGCACGCGTCCGTCTCCGCGCAGCCGCCGCAGCTGCCGGGGCAGCAGATGCGCCAGTCGCCGAAGGCCGCCGCGTGGCCGCCGAGGCAGAAGCGCGCTTTGGGAGCTTTGGGAGCTTTGTCCGCGAGAGCGAGCGAGAGCACGAGGAGCGACGCCAGCATCATGGTGTTCAAGGGCTGCCCTTGTACGCCTCACTTCTCTCCATTGTTGCTGACTTTTGACTTCCTACAGAGGTGTCCATCATACGCATCGTCTCGCCTTCAACAGTCTTCAACTCGGCTGATTGACCAGATGTTGACCAATGATAAAAACTCAAACCAGGTGGGAGCTCTCTCGAACGCGCGTCGTGTTTGCAAGAACGTCAACGACTGATCGAACTGCGCGCGCGCGTCGACAACCTCTCGACAGCTGCGCTGCGCGCGCGTCAACAACAACAACCGCTGCGCGACGCACACAAACGGAATGGAGCCGCGCGCCCTCACGCGACTCCAGGCCGCGGCGCGCGGCGCATCGACGCGCGCCGCCGTCATCGCGGCGACGCGGTCCGACTTCCTCGCGCTCTGCGAGCGCCTCGACGCCGGCGCGCCCGCGGGCCTCGCGACGCGGCCGAGATGGCCGTCCGCGACGCTCTGCGCGCCGCGCTTCGCCGCGGCCGCGGCCCCCGCGCCGCGTCCGCCGCCGCACGCGCCGACGCCGCCGAAGCCGCGGCGGAGCCCGGACCGCCGGTCCCGGTCGCCGTCGCCGCCGCCGCCGTCGCCGCCGTCGCCGACCGCGGACGTCCGCCGCGAGCTCGACTGGGCCAGGGCCGCGCTCCGGAGCCGCCTCGCGTACCTCGAGCGGGACCCGTTTAACCTAGGAAGTTAGGAGCGGCGCGTCGAGCGCGCCGTCGTCCGACGACGCCTCCGCGAGGCGGTCCCGGGCGTCGGCGACGGACGCGTCCCAGTCGTGGCGCAGGATCGCGCGGAGCTGGACGAGGAACGACGCGGAGAGCGCCAACGCGCAGCCGTAGAGCAGCGTCGGCGCGGCGGCCTCGTCCAGACCCAGCCCGAACACGAGCCCGCAGGCCACGGGCGCGGCGACGACGTACCAGCCGAAGAGGTTCGCGTAGGCGATGACGCGCGGCAGGCCCGCGCCCGAGAGCGCGCCCTGGACGACGACGTTGAGGCCGTCGGCGAAGACCAGCGCCGCGAGCGCCGGCACGCACCGCTCCGCCAAACCGACGATGGCGTCGTCGCGCGCGTAGAGCCGCGCGACGTTGTGGCGAGCGGCGACGAGGGACGCGGCGACGACGGCGCCGATGAAGGCGGCGAGCGCGAGGCCCAAAGCCGCGAAGCGCTTCGCCGCAGCGACGTCTCTCGCGCCGACGCGCTCGCCGACCTTGACCGCGACGCCGACCATGAGCCCCAGCCAGCCCATCTCGAAGACGGCCTGGAGCGTCAGGCACGTCGCCAGCGCGCCGAGGACGGAGAATGACGACCGCCGCGTGCCGCCCAGCGAGATCACCAGCTCCATGCTCCACCACTCCAGCCTACCAAGTGCGACGGGGTCGAATATTCTCACATATTCAGGCGAAATTCACGCGAAAAAACACTCCTGTCGCTCGACGCTGACTCCAGCGTCGTGAAAATCAACCCCGGCAGCGCCAACCCCAGGTAATCGCGCAAACCCTTGCGGTCCAGCACCTGCCGGAGCGGCCGCGGCGCGAAGACGTGCCCGAGTCCGCAGCGATACAAGTAGGGCACCTGGAGCAAGAGGTAGGTGCAGTTGTAGGCGCTGGAAGCCCAGGCCGCGCCGACGTAGCTGCCGAAGACCCGCTCGATCAACACGTACTGCCACGCGGGCGCGGTGGCGCACACCGCGGCGCAGATCGCGAGGTTCGCCACCACGTGGCCTTCCGCGGTCATGATGCGCTGCAAGATCGTCATGAGCGACACGCCCGCGAGCGACGGCAGCAACCCGACGCAGTAGCGGCGCGCGAGCTTCGCGAGCGACCGCTTCTGGCCGAGGACGTGCACGAGGACCGGCTCCGCGAAATAGATGGCCGCGCAGCCGCCCAGAGCGCCGACGGCGACGACGCAGAGCGCGCGCTGCGCGTAGAGGCCGTGGAGCTCTTTGCCCTTGCCCGCGCCCACGGCCTGCGGGCAGAGCGTCCGCATGGCGGAGATGAGGCCGTAGCTCACGGAGAAGCACGTGACGTTGAAATAGCTCCGGCCCAGAGACATGGCATCGAGGTCCAAGCCGGCGTCGGCGGCGCGGCTGCGCCCGACGAACCACATGGCGAAGGACACGGGCAAGTACTCGCAGAGATTGGCGACGGCCGTCGGGACGGCGAGCTTCGTGAGTTGCCAGGCCTCCTGGCGCAGCGATGGTGGTGCTGCGGCTTTGCGCGGTGCCCTGGCAGACTCTTCGTGGCCTACATCGCCCTCCTCCGCTGCCACGGCGGCGCTGAACGCGTCGGCCATCGCGTCGTAGTCAGGGACAAGGTCGGCCCAGAAGTTCAGTTTCAGCGAGCTGTGGCAGTGCCGATGTGCCGCGCCGCACTCGCAGCAGCTATGCTCGCCATCGCAGCGCGCGGCTTCCAATGCGTGCAGCGCCGCGTCGTCCACACGCGCTTGCTCGCAACGCCGTCGCAAAAATCGATGGCGGCGACGTTCCGCGCCGGCCTGCTCTACGCCGACAACCATGTCTTATGCCTCAACAAGCCCGCGGGCATGCTGTCGCAGCTGGACCGCACGGGCGACGCGAGCGTCAACGAGTACGCGCTGGCGTGGCTCGGCGAGGAGCGAAACACTAAGTTCGCCGCCGCGGTCCACCGCCTGGACCGGCCCGTGTCGGGGTGTTTGCTCGTGGCCGCGTCGAGCAAGGCCGCGAAGCGGCTCTCGAAGAGCCTCGCGGATGGCAAGGTCGAGAAGCGGTACCTCGCGGTCGTCGCGCCGCGCGGCGACGGTTTCCGCGTCGGCGACGCGCGCTACTTGGTCGACGGCTTGCGGACCGTCGACGGCGGATCGAGCGCGAAGAAGGTCGAGCTGATGCCTCTGGCGTCTCTGGCGCGGCAACCGTCGCCGGCGGATCTCGCATCGTATGCCAAGAAGCTGAAGCCCGGCTTCAAGGTCGCGTCGACGCGCTACGAGGTGCTCGCGGCCGCGCGCGGCGAGGCGCTCGTCGCCGTCACGCTCCAGGCGACGGGCCGGCGCCACCAGATCCGCGCCGCCCTCGGCCAGCGGGGCGCGGCCATCGTCGGCGACGCCAAGTACGGGCCGCGGCCATCGGGGACGTCCGCGCGCGCGACGACGCCGGCCATCGCGCTCCACGCGGCCTCGCTCGTCGCGCCGCACCCCGTCGCGGACAAGCCGGCCATCGCCGTCGCCGCGCCCATCCCGGACGCCTGGCGCGACGCCCACGCGCCGGACCTCGCGCGCGCCGCCGACGCGTTCCTCGCCGAGGTCGCTGGACCGGGTTAATGGTGACATGTTCAACCCGTACGATGCAGCCAGCGTTGATGGGGCCCTCCGAGCAAAAGCCGAAAGCTCGAAGGTGGGGCAGGCCTCGAAGTCGACCGCCGCGCGCGCCGCATTCACCATGAGCGTCTTCAACAAGCGCAAGGAGAAGGATGTGGACATCGAGAAGCTCTGGGCGGAGAAGATGCGCAAGAACCCGAGCCTGAAGCGCCTGAACCCGCCGGGGTCCGCCGCCGACATCATGCAGGCCATCGAGTACGACTGGGACCTCCACATCAAGAACAAGCAGAAGGCGGACCGCGAGGGGCCCGACGACCCGAACTGGCACAAGATGTTCATGACCGAGTCCGAGGACGACACGCCCCTCAAGGAGATGGTGACGCAAACGTACCCGTACCTGAAGCGCGAGATGGTCCGGACGAAGAAGAAGAAGGGCGAGGCCTTCGTCGAGCTCCTCGTCAAGTACCAGGACCTGATGGTGCCCGAGGACAACAAGAAGTACCGCGACGCGGCCTACCGCATCGAGAAGGAGTACAACGCGCGCGGCGGCTGCGGGCCGTCCGAGGGCGAGGCCGCGGCGATCATGGCCCTCAAGATCTACCGCCAGATCCTCGAGGCGGACAAGGGGCCCGGCGGCTCCGACTACCGCACGGCCAACGCCGAGGACCAGTGCTGGCTCAAGTGCGTCGAGTACACGACGGCGTACGTCGAGGACGTCCGCGTCACGCCCGGCTCCGCGGAGAACATCACGGAGCCCGAGCCGGGCCGCGACTACTCCATCATCCTCCGCGACGACTTCGGCTCCTCCGGCGGCAACGGCGCGGCGGAGCCCAACGGGACCAACGGCGCGGACGACGAGGACGCGACGGTCGCGCCGGCCGAGGACGCGCCGGCCGAGGACGCGCCCGCGGACGCGACCCTCGACCAGGAGTGAGGGGGCGTAACGGGACCTCGACGCGAGACCTGATGCGGGGGCACCGGGGCTGCCGAGCCGTCGCGGAATGTCGCAGAACGAGGCCTAGGAAGGGCTCGGTTGAAGCCTGTTGCACGCCTCGTTGAAGGGGCTCCGCATGGCAAGTCACGCCACTCGCAGCGCGATGCCTCGGCGCGCTGTCTCCGCATGCGCAACGCTGCTGCTCATCGCCGTCGCACCGCGCGCGGCGGCGCTGCGCGCGGCGCCGCGCTGGCGGCGACCGACCGTGGCGCTGCGCGCCGCACCGCAGCCGCCACAAACGCGCCCGCTCGTGTCGCTGCAGTCGGAGACGATCCGCGTCGCCGGCCGGCCGCTCATCGAGGACCTCACGCTGACCATCTCCGCCGGCGACCGCTGGGCGCTCGTGGGGCCCAACGGCGCGGGCAAGACGACGCTCGCGACGCTCCTCGGGTCGCGCGTCGCCTGCGGCGGCTTCGACCAGGCGCCCGGCGCCGGCGCCGCGTCGAGCGTGGGCCGCGCGATGCTCGGCCGCGCGGAGCTCGGCCTGGGCGTCGACGAGCTCGCGGCGCGCTTCGGCGAATCCGGCGCGCCGACCGCGCCGACGCCCGAGGCCGCCGGCGCGCACCTCGTGAGCTTCGAGGGCCACCGCGCGCTGCTCGCCGCGGAGCGATCCGAGTTCGCCGAGTCGCGGTTCTCGAGCGTGCACAAGCGCGCGACGGTCGCGTCCTACCTCTTCCCCGAGCGCTACCCGTCGGCGAAGCGCTACGTCGGCTACGAGCCGCGGCGGACGCGGCTCGCGCCCCTGCCCGTCGCCGCGGACGCGACGCCCGCGGACGAGCCCGCGCTCGCGGGTTTGGAGGCCGCCGCCGCCGCCGCGGGCGCGGTGCTGGGCCGCTTCGGCCTCGACGGGCTGCACCACCAGCCGCTCTTCGCGCTGTCGACGGGCGAGGCGCGGAAGCTGTTGGTCGCGGACTACTTCCTCCGGACGCCTAGGCCGCCGCTCCTCATCCTCGACGAGGCCTTCGACGGCCTGGACGAGGCGTCGCGGGACGCGCTCGCGGCCGCGCTCGCCGACGAGGCGCCGACGATCGTCCAGGTCGCGCACCGCCTCGAGGACGTCGAGGCCGTCGCGCCGACGAAGGCCGTCGTGCTCCGCGGCGACGGGTCCGCGGCCGTCGGCGACTGGGACGCGGTCCGGGGCGAGGCGCTCGCGGTCCTCGAGCGCGAGGGCGACGCGGTGAAGACCGCGCCGCCGCCGCGGCCGGACCCCAAGTCCGTCGGCCGCGGCGCGCGCAAGTCCTGGGGCCGGCGGAGGGGCGCGTTCGACGGCGAGCCGTCGCGCGAGGTCGTGCGCTTCGACGGCGTCTCCGTCGACTACGGCGGCCGCCGCGTCTTCCCCGGCGGCCTCTCGTTCTCCCTGCGCGCGGGCGAGTGGATCGCGGTGACGGGCCCCAACGGCTGCGGCAAGTCGACGCTCGTCGACCTGATCACGGGCGACAACGTTTTAGGGTTCCGCCAGAACCTCACGCTCTTCGGTCGCCGAAAGGGCTCGGGCGAGTCCATCTGGGACGTGAAGCGGCAGATCGGATTATTATTTCCGCGGTCCCACGAAGACTACCTCGCCTACGCGGACCCCTCGGGCGGCCGCGGCCTCGGCAGGAGCGGCGCGGGCGCGTCGTCGAGGGACGTCGTCCTGTCGGGCTTCTACGACTCGGTGGGCCTCTACGACGCGCCCGCGCCCGGCCACGCGGCCGTCGCCGACGCCTGGGTCGACCGCCTCGGCATCGGCGACCTCGTCTCCGACGAGCCGGGCTCCTTCGGGCGGCTGTCGCTGGGCCAGCAGAAGCTCGCGCTCCTCGCGCGCGCGCTCGTCAAAAGCCCGCGGCTCCTCGTGCTCGACGAGCCGACGCACGCGCTGTCGCGCATGAGCCGCGGCCGGTTCCTTAGCGCGCTCGCGGCCGTGCGCGACGAGCCCGACGTCGCCGTCCTCTACGTGACGCACCGGCGCGACGAAATCGCCGCGCTCGCCGTGGACCGCGTCCTCGACCTTAAGACGAGCTGAGTGCCTCTTGCGACGAAGACAAGCCGCTCATGTGAGTGCCTTACGACGTCGCCTTCTCCGACGTGTTCGGCAGCTTGGCCACCATCAGCCCGACGCCGGCGAGGAAGCCGAAGAGGTCGATGCCGTCGAGGTGGAGCGCGTCGCAGAGGAGGAGGCCGCAGAGGCCGCCGGCGAGGGCCTGGGCCGCGGGCTCCGGCGCGGGCCGCGCGCGCCGGTCCCGCGCGGCCCGCTCGAGGGACGCCTCGACGCGCTGGATCGACGCGTCGACGGACGCGGCGGCCTCGGAGATCGCGAAGGTCCGCCGCTCCTCGGCGGCGCGCTGCTCCGCGAGCGCCTTGTCGCGCTCGGCCTCGGCCGAAGCCACGTCGGCGGCGTTCGCCGCCGCGGCCTCTTCCACTTCTCTGGCGCGGCTCGCGACCACCTCCTCCGCGCGCGCGCGCGCCGCCGCCGCGCGCTTGTTCAACTCGTCCTCCTCGGCCTCGGCGCCGGCGACGGCGGCCGCGACGGCGGCCGCGACGGCCTCCTTCGGCGCCGGGCCCCGCGCGTCCCGCGCCTCCTCGCGGAGGCGCGCGGCCGACGCCCGCGCGTCCTCCGCGCGCCGCTCCGCCTTCTCCGTCTCGCGCGCGCACTTGCGCCGCTGCGCCTCGAGCATGCGGATCTCGCGCGAGCACCGCGTCGCCGCCTCGTCGACGATCTGCTGGATGGACCGCGCCTCGCGCTTGAGCGCCGCCGCCGCGCCCGAGCCGTCGGACGGCTGGAAGATGTCCCAGAAGTTCTTCTCTTCCGCCGGTTCGACCTCGCCGTCGTCGACCTCGGCCCAGACGGGCAGGTCCCCACCGCGCAATGGATCGACCTCGGCCCAGACGGGCACGTCCTTGGGCGCACCGCGCAGGGCGACGCGTGCGCCGCGCGCTGCGGGCGATGTCACGACATACGTGCGGCCGGCGTGCAATGCGGCGCAGCCGTGCGCTAGCAGCAGCGCGCGAATCATCGTGCAGATCTGCGGCCGGCGTGCGAGGATCCTCTCCATCGCAAGCTCAAGCCTTTTTGGTCGGCCGAGAAGGGCAACATCCCCGCACTGGCAGTGGTTGAAGACGACGAGCTCTTTTTATTGAATAGTTATTGAAGCTTGGTCGACTGTTATGCGTGGGGGGCTGCGCGCCTGACCGTGGGAGTTCATGACCTTCTACGTCTACTGGCACAACGCGGCCGCGGGCCAGCCGCCCTTCGCCAGCTGTGCGTACTTCTACCACGTGATGTCCTTGGCCAACTTCATCAACAATCTGATGGCCAAAGGTCGGAACATCGACGTCGTGATGTGGGTGCCGTGTCGCAGCACGCCGCGGTGCATCACCATGAACGGCTCTGGCGAGCGCACGTCCACGCGCCGCTTGATCCCGAGGGAGGCGCGCAGCAGCGAAGAAGACGAGGACGAGGACGTCATGGTCGACGAGGAGCCGGAGGCCGAGGAGGGCACGTGGGTCGAGGAGTGGGACGACGACGCGACGAAGGCGTTCGCCGACTACGACGTGGCGCTTCCGCGGTGGCTGGATGGTGCGTCTCCGCCGCCCTCGCGCGCGGACCCGCGCGCCGACCCCTTCCCCTTCCCCGCGCAGCGGGCAACCAGGTCGTCGCGACGCGCCGGAGCGACGCGGAGAGCTGGGCGCGCACGGCCCACGACGCCTGCGTCGCCGAGATCCAGGCCGCGCTGCTCTGGGCCGCGCGTCTCCGGGTCCGTCCCGCGCGCGTGGTCCACGGGCGAGCCGAGCGCGTAGGTCCGCGACGACGCGGGCATCCGGGAGCTCGTGCGGCGGCGCCATCGCGACGGCGATCCGCACCTCGGCGTGCAGGCGTGCTACGACGAGGTCATGCGGCGTGAGGAGTCGGGGGAGGCACTCGCGCACGACTGCGTGAAAACGCGGGGAACGCCCGACGACGAGGCCTGGGAACGAGCGCTCGAGCGCGATCGACGGGCGGCCGCCGAAGCCCTCCGCGCCGAGGTCGAGGCCAACGCCTTGGACGCGGCGCCGACGATCAGCTCGGTCTTCAACGAGATGCAGCAGCTGCTGCGGATGATGGGCGACGGCGACTATTTCGGCGACGCGCGCGCGAGGCTCAACGAGTGCTTGGGGCTCCGAGACGCGTTGGAGCCGCTCGACGGCGACGCGCAGGGCGTGCAGGTCCAGGAGCGCCGCGCCCCGGGGCGCCACGAGCAGTCCGTGGAGTTCGTCGGCGGCGAGACCGGCGACGCCGTCGTCAACCTCGTGCAGCTCCTTCGGTTCATCGACGTCACGGAGCCTCGGGAGATATTCAAGATCAAGGCGCTCGTCGAGCCCGTCGACGACGAGGAGCTGTGCCCGGAGACGGTCGAGGTCGCCGTCGTCGGGCCGACGCTCGCCGAGGTGCTGGCGCCCTGGTCCGAGCGCGCGCTCTCCGGCGTCGCGGCCTCGGTCGCGCTCACGAGGGACACCGCGCTCGTGATGGCGATCGCGCCCGACGAGATGCGCTACCTGCCTCCCCGGCGCGACGCGGCGTCCAACGATTTCTTTGCGAGCTTCTCGCGTCGCGACGTCGTTTTTTTGTAGGCGCGACGACCTCTGGTTCTGGTCCAAAAACCAGCGCGCGTGGATCGAGGTCCTCCTCCTCGACGAGGCCATCTTCCGCATCGACCCCCAGCTCGTCCTGCACATCACGGGCGACAAGCCCAAGACCGACTGCGTCTTGGCGCCGGCCGGCAGCGTCGTCCGCCAGGACCGCCGCGCGAGCCTGCTGGACCCGCAGCGGCTACTCGGCGTCGGGCTCAAGGGCTCGCACTGCGGCAAGCGCAACGCGACCTGGTCCAAGCGGTGCTACATGCTCGAGGAGATCGAGGAACTGGGGCGGGCCGAGATCGTCATGGTCTTCGCCGAGTTGGGCAACAACGACCAGGGGCTGCCGAAATTTATGGCGCGGAGCCGCGTCGGACTTCGGGGCGTGTTTGTTCGTCGACGTGGACCGGTTTTAGGTCGCGCTTCCTGATGATGCTCCAGCGGTTCGCCGGGCGGCCCAACGTGGGACCTCAACGTCAATTGCGTACGCGTGGCTCGAGGGCGAGGACCTCAGCTTCGGCTCCGCGGCGGACGCGGCGGCCAAGCTCGTCGAAGCGTACGGCCGTCACGCGACGCCGCAGAGTTTCCAGAAGTTCCTCGTAGCGACAGCGGGGATCGACGACAACCGGGGGAAGAACCTCGCCGCGCGCCAGTTCGACGAGTTCGCCTGGGCCCAGGCGGGCTATCATATCAGGTCCTTTCCCGGGGCCGGAAAGGCCCAATTCGAGGTGTCGCATCCCGACAACCCGGGCAAATTTGTACGTATTGGTCGCGCTTCCCGCGTCCGACGACTTGAAACAGAGAGTATTCGACGCCGCCGCGGCGCTGCGACGAGGCGACGTCGTCGTCGCCGCCGTCCGCGGACCCCGCGACGCTCGCGTCGACGACGCTCGCGCGGACGACGGCGGCGCGCGACGGACGACGCCGCCGTGCGCCGACGCGTGCGTGCTCGCGCGGCTGCGCCGGCGGCACGACGAGCCGCGGCGCTGCGACGCGGAGACGTCGTCGTCGCCGCCGTCCGCGGACCTCGCGACGCTCGCGCCGCCGACGCTCGCGGCGGACGACGGCGGCGCCGCCGACGCTCGCGCCGACGACGGTCGCGCGCGACGGACGACGCCGCCGTGCGCCGACGCGTGCGTGCTCGCGCGGCTGCGCCGGCGGCACGACGAGCCGCGGCGCTGCGACGCGGAGACGTCGTCGTCGCCGCCGTCCGCGGACCCCGCGACGCTCGCGCCGCCGACGCTCGCGGCGGACGACGCTCGCGCGGACGACGCTCGCGGCGGACGACGGCCGCGCGCGACGGACGAACAGTTTCCCACCCCTCGCAGGCTGCTACATGAGCGTTGTTCGATCGCAGATCCCGGAATTGTGGAAGGACGTAAGAATCAAGACTGTAATCGAGACGACGAAAAATGTCTACTCGGGTACGCACGTCGACTGTTCAGATATCTGGACACACTACTTTCTGATCAAAGAAGATAATCAATGGAAGGTCGCGACTGTTTTTTCTTCGACCACAAAGTTTTTGGCCGATTTAAAGTTCAGTTTATTTGGACCTGGGAGCCGCACCCGCAATAATCGCATGATTCGAAAAGGGGTGTTTTACAGGACGCGGCATTCGAACCTTGTGCATATGGACTTTTTCTACTCGCACAGTCTCGACCCCGACGACCTCGAGCCCCCTACCCTGTCTTCTCAATTTCGGAATCTTGTCGTGTCGCCATCGCGCACTGTGTCAGAAATTTCCAGCCGCGTGGATGACACCGACCGGCTCTTCCGGCTCGCCGTCGGCGAGCCACACGACGATGATCTCGCCCATACACCGGCGGAGGAATACCTCCCGAATCCGAGCACGGTCAACAACCAGTACTGTCATTGGTAATGCTCGTTATAATTGTATGTACTTCGTTCTTACGGCATCTTGTGCTTTGGGCGCGCGGCGGCGGGCGCCTCCCAGGGGCAGCGCTTGGAGAGCACCGCGGTCCAGAAGTCCTCGACGCCGACGCGGACCGGCGCCGCGCGGATGTTCACGAGGCTCGCGTCGAGGGGCGTCGCGGGGTCGCCGAGGAGCAGGAGCGCGCGGTCGCCGAGGGCGACGCGCGCCTTCGTCGGCGTCGCGAGCCAGACGCCGCCCGCGCACTCGACGATCTGCTTGAGCTCGCCGTCCTTGGGCAGCTTGGGCCCGCCGGCGCGGCGCGCGCGCGGGTCGAGGAGGACCGCGTAGTCCGCGAGCGCGCCGGCACCCTCGCCGTTGGCCGCGAGGGACGCGGCGAGGTCGAAGCGCCACGCGGCCTCGTTCTCCCGGTCGCGCACGGCGAAGGGCCGCTCGTCGGCGGCGCGGCCGAGCGCGTCGCTCTCCCAGAGCCAGCCGAGCGTGACGACGTGGCGCGCGACGGAGACCGCCGTGAGGAGCTTGGGCGTGCGCCGCAGGGGCACCGAGGACACGAGGTGCGTCGCGTCGCCCCAGCGCGCCGCGAGCGCGAAGCCCGCCGCGGAGACCGCCGCGCGGGCCTTGGCGTCGACGTCGATGCCCGTGAAGAGGACCACGACGTTCGTCCGC